TTGTATGTAGATTTGGAGTTGTAAGGGAAGTAATTTCCCCCTGGGATTATTAAAGTATTTCTGATTCTGATGATTGGTAGTTCCCTTCTCAGCCGCAGTACAGTCCTCCCGCCACAGGGGGCGCTGCTCTGCCGGCAAGAGCCTCACTGGTTCCTGTCCACTTCCGCTGGTTGGACAGACTTGTGTGGCAGATTCGACAGAAAGTTCTGCGTATGTACTGTAAAACTAATCTCCAAATCCAAATTCAGGGATTATATTTAGTGATATGACGCCTCAAACCCATCGATAAATTAGTATTCTTTTGTTGTTTACGTGGATAACATGGACGGACAAAAAGCAGGTACGAATTTTAGCTAGCTTCAACTCGAATATGTTTGTCGGGTCTTCATGTTTAGTTAGTTTGAGTTTGGGCCAAATCAAAACAAACAAACGTGTTTAGGTTAGTTCAAAACGTGTGCCTGCACTGACTTTCAGCGAGTTTTCAAAAACAGCATCCACGCTGTAGACAGACTTTTTGTTTTGCAATAAAGGTACGAGTACAGTGTGTAGGTTGTGTCTGTAGGCTTGACTTGGCTCAGTGATGAATAATGGCATCAAATAATGTGCACAAAGACAGATTATTAGCCTCATTTAAAAAGGAAATGCACCAACAGGCACTCAAAATGAAGGCCAGCTCATACTTTCATTGGCTGTCTCATAAGCCCAAGATAAATGTGGATGGACTGAAATTATATCCTGTGTTATTAATCAGTCATCCATATAAATTACATCCACAAAAGGTTTTGATAAAATATCCAACCAGCTGTGGGTGTGAAGCTCCTTTACTGTTAAATGCCTTTCTATGTTATCTATCAAGAGAATGGGTGTGAACAAGACTGCTGGCTAATAGGAGCAGTGGTGAATAATACTGTTAGGCTGTTTTAATGAGCCTGAACTGTGATGACTGTAATGTAATGGGCCTCTTCTGTTCTAGGTGGATTGTGAAACAATAGAAACCAAATTACTGGTTGAAACTTGAGAGTTTTGGGGGAATCTTTTATTATCAAATACCCAGCAAACATACTGTATGTCATCGTCCTTATCATTTAACAGCATACAAGCAGCAACATGTAGCACAGTCCTTCACTTCCATTGAGCTTACCTGATTCTGTTTGTTTCCCTCTCTCTGCCTCTTGACCTGCCACCGTTCTTCTCCCCGTTTCTCCAGCAGGTTCTGTGTTTATGTGTCGGCTGTGCAACCTCTTCTCTCCCAGTCGCTCTCAGCTGCTGGCCCATTGCTCCCAGCTGCACCCCCAGCAGGATCCTCCTGATGACATCATCATTGCACTGCAGCCCCTTGTAGGAGAGCCTGTGGAGACACTGGCAGGTCAGGTTAGCTTGTCATTGCCAGCGTTACTAACACTCATTTGGGAATGAATTGGCATTGGGATTTCATTGTTTACAAGATGATTGAAATGCTTTATTCAATCTGTTTGTCATTGTATTTTGGGTTCTGTGACACAAGGAAAAGCTACAGAAAAGTAATTGTTTGTAGGATACGCTTGTATTGTTGATTTTGATCTCTTAGCAGGATTTATTCACTAAATAAAAATATAGAAAAACCCCTCAGTGTTCTTATCTGTTCTGCTGTCTTGTTGGCCCACAGAGAGCCCGGTGAAGCGAAAACGAGGCCGTCCGAAAGGCTCTACGAAGAAGATGCGCACCGATTTGACAGAGGGCAAGGCTGGCTCCGCCCATTCTCCAAAGGATAATGTTCAAAGAGAAGAAGAAGGGAATAAGGAGGAGGGAGATACACAATGTAGCACAATAGAAGGTAGCTTACCAACACCAAAAATTATGAGTATTAAATATCACCTTGCTGCATTAATGACATAAAAGAGATATCATGCTCAGATTTATCTACTCAAAAAGGTTACTGCCAGAGTTTCTGACAACTGGCTTTTGCCTGGTTGCTAACCTAACTTTTCTTAACAGTCCCTGACTTGCTATGTCGACATTTAAAGGTCCAGTGTGTAACATTTAGGAGAATCGATTGCCAGAAATGGAATATAATATGCATAACTATGTATTCAGTAATGTATAATTACTTGAATATAGGCATTGTTTGGTTTTGTTACCTGAAAATGAGCCTTTTATATCTACAGACACTGTGGGTTGCCTTCCATGGAGTCCAACATGTTGAACTGCCATATTTTTACAGTAACACAGAATGTACCAACCAAACACTTGCTGTAGGTAGGGGCGTTCGCATTTTGCGGCCACCATAGTCTTCCCTTTGCGCTTAGAACGGAGGGGTGAAGCGAGGGAGTTACGATCTGCAACTGCATCACTAGATGCCACTAAATCCTACACACTGAACCTTTTAAGCTTAGAGTGTTATTTTTTTTTAAAGTAAATTAGTTTTTCACAAATAGTGTTTCCTTCATTCTGCAGTCTGACTCTTTTTTTGTTTCCTTCTTCCAGGAGAAAGCCATGATGAGATGTTGGGGCTGGAATGTAGAGACTGTCATCGCACGTTCAGAAACAGACGACAGATCCTCAAACACATCTGCCTAAGAGAAGAGGAACAGGAGGAGGACGAAGAGGAGAATGGTGAGGAGTGAAACGAACAAAAAACCAAAGAGGAATTCAAAGTTGGGGTGACCTGAGGGAGCATGTTGGGAATTATCCTAATCATAATTTGAGTTCCCTTTCTGTTAACTACACATAGAATATAATTTATTTATTAGGTGTATATTTAATCAGGTGATTCTGATTAATAGAGATGATCATTTACAGGGAGCATCGGTGATGGAGCAGGAGTTGACGGTTCTGGGAGTTTGGATTCTGAGGGAACAGATCCAAATCAGAAGCAGCAAAACTCAGCAAGACCAGGGTTTGGGAGAGAAAAGGGTAAGTTTAAACATCAGGACATGGTTTCTTCAAATGAATTGTCATCAGTGTTACTCTCCAGCATCAGAACATTCCTGGATTTTTTGAAGTAGGCTTTAAGTTTAGTTTTATAACCTTTTCTTGTTCTCTGCTCGTAGACGTTGGCAGCTCAAGAACCCAGAGAACCAACCGAAGCCGCATCTCCAAAGAAGGCCTAGCAACAGGAAACAAAAAGTCTGTCATCAGTGTTGTTCTGACAGAAGATAAAACACTTCCAGGTTAGTCTTAAAGAGAGCTTGTTTTTGTGCTAGTTTTTACATTTTGGCTAACAACTGACTTGCTTGCTGTAGAAAACATATTTATAAGTAAGCTGTGTTACCTTTAATTCAACAGGTGTTTCTAAAATTGTTCCAGTAGAGGACAATTCAGCCGAAAAAGCAGAGTCTGCAGCCATCCAAACTCAACCTCAGGTAAGCAGAAGAATAAATAGGAACAATTAAGGAAGATTCACCAACATTTTATATATATAGATATATTTGACCACTTTCCTCTACTAGCATCCAGTCAAGCAGACAGCTTTTGCCATATTTTTGAGATTTATTCCTTCGAGCCAATATAATATAATAGAATTTTATTTGTGGTGCTTACAAAAGTGTAAAATTACATTTATCAGCAACATCAGACCTTTTTGTGAGTGGTTTATATAAAAACTTTCTACCAAAGGGTTAGGGTTAATCTCTATTAGAACTGTCAACAGCCTGCTGTGTCATGGTCCCACAGAACACTGTATTATTTACTCATCTACTGAAAACCAAGATAAAAACATTTTATTTTTTAAATATACATTGTTATAAGATTTTGGCATTTTAACCAAATTTCTTTTGCAGTCTGCAGTCTTCCAGAGTCAGTCAAAAGACCTTGCAAGTGACGCCAAAGCCTGCGATGGTAACCCTAAAACAGATCAAGAGCCAAGGTAATATAATCTCCTATGATTCTTAGAAATTAAAACAATTGATGCTCATATTAACAAATTGTCAGTAAGCTTGATATAGAAAATCTGACAATGCATGCATAAAAAATGTTGTAAAGGACCTGCTAGTTTGTGCTTTCAGCAGTCTGCTCTCTTTGCTTTCTACTCCTAGTTCTGACCTGACCTCCACAACAACGGCAGCAGCCAACAGAGGCTTCCAGGAATATTCTATAAAGCAAGATGCTACCAAGTACTGTATGAATATTGTTTTATTAACTGTATTAGCATTGATTTTATTTTATAGCAGTCATAGCTTTGGAGGTAGCTGAATGCTCTTGTGAAAAATACAAGATGCACGCTTCTGAAAATAAATCTGGTTCTAAACTGGTTCTAAAAGAGATGTTTGGCTTTGTTTTTTGAGGATTCAGAAATGATTTTGTTTATTTGCTTATTGGTAATGTTGTTACGTGAGCACCCTAGAGCCAGTCGAAGTTCATAGTTCATATTTTATTAGCAACTTTAACAACAGTCACCACTGCCACAATAGCAGCTGCAATGATATCTTTCCACTGGTAAATGTAATATTGTCTTTGTCTGTCTCCCAGTTTACTTCAGAGCCAGTTGAAGATCTTTGCCTGTGAGTTCTGTAATAAGATCTTTAAATTCAGACACTCGCTAGTTGCCCACCTAAGGACACACACCCAGGAGAAACCGTTCCAGTGTCCACACTGTGACTACGCATCATCGATCAAAGGTAAACCCTGGCTCAGCGTCACACATTAAAAAAAAAATTAAAAGTGAGACTGAATCAAATTGTTATAGTTACAATTTGTAGGATTTAAGGTTTAAGGTGCTGACAGGACACATGGGGAGAAGGAGGACTACCACATACTCCTATTTGTAGGATTTTATTATGTAATTGTGTAATGTTTCAAATTATTCTGATGGTAGTTTGATGGAAGTTTTTGTTTGTAAAACTTTTCAATATGTTGCTTTAGGTTCATGGGTGGTAGGGGGCTGAAGAGATCTTTCGTCTTAACTGCTACTTTAAATATACTATTAAGTACCTTTTGCAATTACTGTTAATGACTATTATGATCTTACTAACCTACTTACCTCCTTGACTTTCCTTTCAAAGCCAACCTAAACGTTCACCTGAGGAAGCACACAGGAGAGAAGTTCAGCTGTCAGCACTGTCCCTTCAACTGCCTCAGCCCAGGACACCTCAAGGTGTTCTTATTTATTTATTACTGTTATTGAACTGCTTTTATCAGTGTCAGGTTGTTTTTTAAAATTTACATTATGACTGATCTTCATAAAGCAATACAGCAGTCCACAGACTTTTCAGATAACTCTCATTGTGACGGTCAATGGATGAATTTAATGCAGGTGATTCTGTGTTTGGGTTGTAGCTGTATATGGTCCATTGAGAGGGAGTTTGGATTCTGGTTTCCACATCCAGATAGATTGGATCAATTTAACAGTAACTGTGTAATTCTGTGTTTCTGGTCATGTAGGTCCACATAGAGCGAGTCCATTTAAAGGTGAAGCAGCACTGCAGCTTCTGTGAGAAAAAATACTCAGATGTGAAGAACTTACTGAAACACATGGAGAAACAACACAACCTTAAAGACCCTGCTGTCCACCAGACTTACCAACAACTCAGGTTTGAACCACATTTTCTACATTATTTTACTTTACTATTTACCTGTTTAACTCTAACAACCATCCGACACACCTGCTCTTCCGATCTGTTCATCTCGCCCAGGTTAAAGACTCGTCAGGGCCTCAGGCAGCTCCTCTACCACTGTCCCACCTGCAACCGACGCTTTAAAAACCACCTCGAGCGGGAGCGCCACCTGTTAGTCCACGGACCCCAGCGCCCCTTCGCCTGCCTCCTCTGTGACCATGCTACAACCAAGATGGCTGCCCTCGCTGCTCACATCAGGAAGCACCTCTTCCTGTACGTGTGCTGCGTGTGTGACAGGAAGTTTGTCAGCTCTCAGAGACTGAGGAGTCACCTGAAAGAGTCTCACGCTGAGCTGGACCAGGAGCAGGGCTTCACAGACAGTATCAACAACAGCTACTATCTGGTGCAGCCTGGAGGAGGCATGTGGGGGGATGAGGAGGGGGAAGATATGGAGGAAAGGATGAAGGAAGCGCGCAGGATAGAGCAGGAGGGTGAAGATGAGAGGACGAGAGAGGAGGGTGGAAGAAATGGTGTAGGAGGGGAAGGGGAGCAGCTGGAAGTAGCAACGAATGAAAATAGGGAGCAAGAGAAGGAGGGAGAACGAGCTACATCACAGGGTGAAAAAGTGCAAGTGATAGAAGGAGAGGCAGGGAAAGAAGGAGAATTAGAAAATGGAGGTGCAAAGCAAGGTTCCCAAGCAGAGCTCCACCAAGCAATTTCTGTGGAGACCACAACTCCCACTGACAGACGGGATGAAGTTACAACTCGGGAGAAGTCACAGGACAACACACTGGACTCATGGTGCATGAGTCCACTTCAGAGTGCATTCCAGCAGGTGTTGTCAACTCTTCCTAAGACTCGATTTAATATGGAGTCTTTCCAACGGCTCAGGAAAATTTATGGAGACCTGGAATGTCAATACTGTGGTAAGATGATGAAACCCCCCTGACTTTATATTACATATTATTATTTATTACTTAGCCTTTCCTCTATCTGGCTTAAGTGTTAAATCATTTTTTTTTCTGCTGCGCAGGTAAACTGTTCTGGTACAAAGTCCACTATAACGTCCACGTACGCACACACACCAAGGAGCACTCGCATTACTGTTCAAAGTGTAGCTACTCGTCCATCACCAAAAGCTCTTTAAAGCGGCACCAGATCCACAAGCACAGCGGCTTGCTGCTGTCTTGTTCGGATACTGACTGTAAATACACAACACCAGACAAATACAAGCTTCAAGCCCATTTGAGGACGCATCAAGAACAGGTAACCAGCCGTCAGTCTACAGGAACAATAACTCCTTCAAAACACTGTCTGTCAGATGTCTTTATGTCTGTGTCTTGTTGTTGTTTGCAGGGGAAGAGTGTGTCTTGTCCTGTCTGCGAGCACCGCTATCCAGAGCACAGACTGAAACACCACATCAAAACATCCCACCCTGGTAAAGAACACACACAGACAAAACACACACACACAACCTGTTCATGTTTGCTCTCTAAAAACAAATACAAACTGGTCCTTTAAATCAGTGTGGTCATCTCACTCTGGGCTGAAACCTTTGCTCAGTAGTAGCTAATTTTACAGTATGACGTGATGATGTACTGTAGAAGGCAATGTTGTATATTATATTATGTCTAGGCAACTTTCAGATTCCTTTGTTTTTGGTTTTTTTGTGGTTTTCTTCATGTTAATTTTTGAGGTTGCGATCTCATTTGTCTGTATTTGCATGTATGTGCTGGACAGACGCACTACCTCAGCATGGTAAAGGACTGATGGTGCAGCGTGCAGAGAAGTGCCCCTACTGCGACTCCTACTTCCTTAAGAACAGCAGTGACTTTCAGCGGCACATCTGGGCCCACCAAGGTGTGAAATTCCTGATATATCTTTAACACAGACAAACACGTACGCACAACACTGGAGTGTGTGGAAACACATCTGGGCCCGTCAGTGTCCATTCACAGTGTTTTACTGCTTGGTTACTGTGTGATCTGAGCTTCCATCTGTCTCTCCTCCTCCTGGCTGCCCTCCAGGCAGATGGATTAGACTGAAAACACACTGTAGATGTTGTGGAAGGAAAATGGCCAGTTGGTCAAGTTACTTGACAAATGATGAGAACTCAAACAAACAAAATCATCAATGTTTGTGCTGCTGGCATCGTCTCAAAGATGAAAAAAAAAAAAAGAAATCTGGCAATGAAGATTGGCAGATGGTTTTTTTTAAGGAAATAGATTGCTAGTTCTACTCCCCTTCCTCAGTCCCTGCATTAGCATGTGCTTACCTTGATAAGCTGTTTATCTTGAAGTTACATCTGTCCTGAGGCTGAGGTAGCTGGCAGACATGAATCTAGCAAAGGTGTTGATGAAGGTCTCCGTGAATGCAGCCAGTTTACCAAAACACCCTGCAATCCATTGCATTGCATTGGACTTTGATTTATCTGGCTGTTCACTTTGTGCTTTCTACCACTTGTCCACCTTGTCACTTAATATTTTCAGTCCAACACGGCTGGCTGCACCCATACAACTAAAAAGCCCATGTAGGTACATATCACTCACAACGTAGTGGACTAAAAACCTTCTTAATTATAGTTATTTTACTGCATTTTTGTTATAATTTGATTATATTTAAGATAAATTCTAAACTAAATGTTTAATTATCAATAGGTTTGTTTTCTTATTTTGGGCAATGCTACCTCAAGTACCTGCATTCAACAGAGTGCATGATACTGAGGTGACAAATGAGCAACTTCTCACCAAATACCATCTTATTTCTTCGCACTTTTATATCTCTTACTCTAACTTTTTTCAGCTGTTGCTGGTGATCTTTTTAAGTGTGTGTTTGCATGTGTTTGCGTGTCCATGTGTGCAGGTTTGAAGCCATACGTCTGCAGTGTGTGTGACTATGCTGGCCGCAGCAGGAGTAACCTGAAGACTCATATGAACCGACACAACACAGAGAGACGTCACCTCTGCGATCTGTGTGGTAAAAAGTTCAAATCTAAGGTTACGCTGAAAAGCCACAGACTGAGCCACACCAATGAAGGTTCGTACACTCTGCTCTGTCACTGATTATGTTTCTTTTAATGCCTGTGTTGTGACTAATTTGCTGGTTATTTACATTATTTGTATATTTATTGCTCTCCATATTATGACATTGTATCGTATTACGTACTGTATGTCACAAGAGTGCTGAGAGAAATTTGCAATGCCATGATAAAGACCTGTTATTTTGTGTTTGTTCAGGAAAACGTTTTCAATGTTCGGAGTGCGACTTTACCTCGGTGTCTAAACCTTCCTTGCTCAGACACATGGAGCAACACGCTGAGTTTAAGGTCAGAATACACCCAAAGCCTCCGTTTGAGGAAGAAATTGCCTAATAAATGTTTGGGAATATTAAAAGTTATTCTAATTCTATTCTAATTCTAATTATTTTACTCAGTAGTATTTTATTTTTCCATGTTGTCTATGCATGATGGGTGGCTTACTGTGTGCATTGTTCCGGATATTAACATCTAGACAACTATCACTCCCATTTGCTTCTGTATTACCACTTTCTCGACCAAAATCATAAAGACAACCTCAGCTCCACCCATTATCGTTGTCAATTTTGTGATGAAATGATTGACAGATTGTCTAGAAAAATTAATCAATGTTTCAAATGCAGTCTTGTTTTACAAAGATTTCATTTGCATTGACTTGTACGTGTGTGTTTGTTTATCTCTGTAGCCATTTCGCTGTGCCCACTGCCACTACTCCTGTAACATTGCTGGTCCACTGAAGCGACACTACAACATGAAACACCCAGATCAGAAATATCAGAATGCCGGACATGGCCTGCCTAACCCTGATGCTCTGAAACAGCAAGGTCTGTTCTCTGCTGCTCTCATACTGCCACGTCTAGACCTTTCATGTTCTTTTAAGTTACTGTACTTGACAGTTCTGTAATAGCTGTGTGATACATACAGTGCTCAGTTTGTAAAAAATTACTCCCATTAATCATTTTATATTGTATTACTGTCAAAATTAGACATGTGGAGTTTGTACAGAACAAAAGGTGTGTACAGGATAGCCTAACAGCTTTTGTGTGTGTCTGTGTTTAGGTGGTATGAAGTGTCCTGAGTGTGAGTTTGTTTATGGGACCAAGTGGGAGCTGAACCGCCACCTGAAGAGCAAACACAGCCTGAAAGTGGTGGAAGGCACCTGGGAGGTAAACAGTATACACATACACAGACTAGATACAGTGAGAAACATTAGGGGTTATTTTTAGCCATGCTAACAATGTGGCTGTCGGTCTGTCGGAGTACTGAATGGATTGCCATAAAATTTTGTGGAGATATTTCTTTGTCCCATTAAGTCCCCATTAAGATGGCTTTGGTGATCCCCTGACTTTCCCCTGTAGCACCACCATCGCGTCAAAGTTTTCACTTATTCCATGAAATATTTCATTTAGTAGATGGATTGGCACAAAATTTGGTAAAGATATTCATGGTCCAGAGAGGAGGAATTGTATCACTTCAGTGACACCCTGCAATTTCATTTTGTTGCGTTATTTATGACTAAAACTAAGGACATTCCCATCAGCCTCAGCTGTACTTTCTGTTTAGTGCTAATTAGCAAATGATGGCATGCTCAAGGGTGGCTGTGGCTCAGGAGGTAGAGTGTCCACTTATCAGAAGTTTGGGGGTTCAATCCCTGGCTCCTCCTGCTGCATGTCCAAGTCTCCTTGAGCAAAACACTGAACCCCAAATTGCTGCTGATGCTGCGCCTTTAGTGTGTGAATGTGCATTCTCATAGTGAGCATGTCAGCGTGCAACATTAGAATTAAGCTCAAAGCACACAGAGCATGGCTGTAAACTATTATTTGTCATGTTTCTGTCCCAGTCTCTTTTCATTAAAACATATATTTCTGATTTAGGAACTTAAAAACTGCAAAAAAATATCAATTAAAAGTATCAATCATTTTATTTCAAAGCCAGTATTTTTAGGACAATAAAATATCTGCCTTATGTATAAATCTCCAGGTAGGGGAGGCAGTAGAGGCCCAATATGTTCCTGTGGAGGATGTGGAGCAGCTGACAGAAGCACCTGTAACAGCCCTGCAGGACAACGGTAACAACAGCGACAGATAATTGGGGGAATTGCTGCTCATGGCCATTCCAATTTATGTTTGCTATTGGTATGCTTTAGCATGTGTACTACGAAACACATTACAATAAAGGTATGTCTTTTGTGTTCAGTTAATATCCAGCAGATCACTGAATTCAATTCAGAGACTCATGATGCTGTCACTTCCATGGTCGCAATGGCTCCAGGCACGGTAACCGTCGTACAACAGGTAAACAACATCCCATCACTTACTCAGGAAATCATGAGTGGTTGCAACAAAATATTGACGTTGAATTTGTGGCTGAAGCTGCAGGTGGCTGATGAGCAGGAGGTCGGTCACTGCAGCAACCAGCTGATGGTGGTGGACGCAGAGGGGGGTCTAACTGGTGACCAGGTGATGGTGGTGGAGGACGCACACGGCCTGGAAGCTCTGACAGTCCTCACTCAGGGAGAAAACACGCACCACTATATCGTCTACGTCCACGAACACACTGTAGAAATCAACTAGTAATCAGTTATCATTTCAACAGAGGACAAAAAACAGGAATTCGTGAGTTTCTCTTTCATCATGAAGGATTTCCTTAATCACGTTTATTTTTTCAGTCATGTAGTAATTATGAGAACAAAAAGTGCAATATTTGGTTGTGTGATTATGTGATTTTTGTACTTAAAAAGTATATTTAAATAAAACCCCTGTCCTGCACTGCTTGATGCAATGGAGTGCTGGAATTTTCTAAAAAATGAATCTCGAAGTTATTGATTTGAGTTCAGTTCTTGCTCAGTATGTTTTGTCATGAAACTCCAACTTTGTTATTATCCAAAGTTTCATACAGTTTTCAAATAATACATTATGACTACTTTTGACATATGTGACAATATAATGTGATAAAGTAACACCAAATTGTCTCAGAAGATTGTTCTGCAAGTAATGTAGTTCTTTAGTAGAAAGTGCTGAAGTTATTTTTTGGGCCTTTTATTGCCTTTATTGATAGGGACAGCGAAAGAGAGACAGAGAGAGGGGATGACACGCAGCAAGGGGTCAGATTCGAACCTTGGGTCGCTGCAGCAACTCAGTGTATGGGTCGCCAGCTCTACCGACTGAGCTAACTGGGTGCCCCAAGTGCTGAACATTTTTAACAAAATTAAAGAGGAAAAGACATGGCTCTTCAGGGGCAACCTTGCAGAGTTCTCAATATGGTGGTTTGTTTGTAGATGGAAACAGACATCACAACGTACTGTTCAATATGAACATACACTTTATAGACACTGCAAAAGTCTGGAAAAGAGGTCAACTGCCACAATAACAATAAATAAGAAGTCTTCTCAGGGTAGAATGGTAACAAACATCCTGCAATATATAAAGATGCAAAAGTGCCCTCTTGCATTCCGCTATGGTAGATAAAACATGACAAAGTTAAACTATTATTGCACGCTTAAATGACCAAGTCCACCACTTGAGATATTGTGTTGATTACAGTATATATTCGTGCATTGTGTATTGTATGGGAGAGAAATAAAGACACATCCTGACGTAGAGTCAATAAAATGAGATAAAGGCATCGATTTTGTTGTTTGTATCACCGTGCAATTGCAATCAAAGGCAGACTGATTTTTGAGCAGCAGTATCAGATCTATGTGGTACTTCAGTCTCAGCCCAGTAGGTGGCGGTGGCGGTGGCGGGCTTTGAGGTCTGCAGCCGACACATTATACAGAATACAGAAGAAGATGAACCGGTGGGAAATTTGACAGTGCGCGAAAGATTAACTCCAAACAAACAATAACCGGGAATTTATTGATGTTTACACGACATGGACCGGTACGTGTTGGTTATATCCTTTTGCCAAACTGATGACAACCTGTCGGAGGATTATAAAAGTAAGTTTTGGCTACTTATTCTGCAAACGTCCGCGCTGCTAAGATTAGTTAACGTTAAAGCTAATTCCCATTCACACATAGGTTAGGTTGACGCTTTATATCTCCTTATCTGTACGCTGTGTCTTATGTAGCAGCAACATTTAGTTACATTGTTAACCTTTGTTCAGATAAGTTTGTTTAAAGTCATATAGTTGGCTCGTAAACGATTTACCGAAGTTACAGTAAGATTAAAACCCAGTGTGGGATTTGTTTAAAGCAGTATACTGTGCTTTTCCCTGATATTTCACTATCTAAACTGATGATGAGCTAATCCATGCTTACACAGGAGGTGCTATTTATATGACAGCTGCTCTTATTGGTCACAGGTTTGGAGCCAGTGAAGCAGATACATGACAGACTTGTGGACATCTCAACTCAGGAATCAGTGAGAGGGGTCTCTGTGTTTCCAGGTACGTACAGTTTACAGCTGAGCCACTCTGGGCGTTTTATTCACCCCAATAAAATACAAGCAGTCATTATTTCACTATTTCACTATTTTCCTCACCTCTTTCCCTCTGCATGTTTTCCCAGCTTGCTCTCTCAGTGGCAGCCCATCAGTCCAGAGGTGGTGCTTTGCTCTTCAGGCGTGCCAAGGATTAACGCAGGTGAGGCATTTGGAAGAGTCAAGACAGTGTAGCCATAGATATGGTTTATGTTCTGTTATATGCCCTGTACCTAATCATTTGGAGAGCTCATGTCATGAAACGTTGAGTATTATACACAAACCTTGTGAATCTTCTAACGGCAAGACTTTTATAATGCGGTAGGTAGGTATCCTGCTAGGTTATAATGTGCTATTTTTTGGAGAAAAAAAAAAAATGCGTATCAGTTGTGCCCCTGCAACACAACCTTTTTGGTAGGATACAATCCTAAAGTGGATTCTGGAAAGGTAGAACAGGAGGTGAATGTGGAGAAGTGCTGGCCTTTTACTCGCCCTATCAAGTTTATAGAAAGAGATAAAATGCTGTATACATACATTCTGTTACCATTGCTTTTGTTGCTGCTGTCGTGGTGTCGTGCTGGCATGTGCACAGATGCAGATG